TCAGCAGCAACTCCTGCTTGTGAATGCGATCCGTCTCTGAGCTCTCGGCCCCCATCACCTCTTCCCATTCGGACTCCACCAAAGTCCGACGAGTTCCAGTCCCTGCACTCGGCACACGCCTTCGCCTTCGTGGCGGTGGCTTTTCCTTTGGGATATGGAGGAAGAACTTGAGGATGGGTTGAGCTCTGCTGGAGGCGCTTTGACTTTTGAAGATCCCTCAACTCGATGTAGAGCCTGAACTCCACCATCTTGACTGTGTACTTCTTGCTCGCTGGTGTCACATGCTCGCGAACCCACGTCACATAGGTCTTGTCGAGTTGGTAGACATCCCGCATCCTCATCCCTTGACACTTCCCTGACTCCAGTTTGCTGTCGCCCAAGGGCTTTGCGTCTTCTGGTTCGTCGCCTGCTAGATCGGCTTGGCTGTCCAGGTCCATCGCCTGTTTCGCCTGAGCCACTTCTGCTTCGGCCTGATAGCGCGCCTCGAGGACAGCTGTCAGTTCCTGAACCAAGGGACTCTGTGGGAATGGCTCCGACATCCTTCACGACTTGAGGTTCCGGTCTGAGTGACGGCTCACACGGGCTTGAGTTCTGGAGAACTGCTGTCATGGTGTCGTGTGCAAGGGTCTGCATGTGTGGTTGCTTTTCCGGTGGTGAGTGCTGCTCATTGGTCATGATGGAGTGAGTGGTGCCATCATTCATCACATCGCTTTCATCGGGTTGCTTCTCAAACAAATGAATCCCATAGTGCCTTTGAGGTAAACCCCATAGACGCCCCCCACGCCTAAGGCCCCAAAAAAGATGTAATCAGCGGACGTGTCGATCTTCGCTCTAAGTTGCTTCAAAAGTTCCTTGCTAAGCAGGAGGGGTGTCGTGGCCCCCTTCCCAGGGAGGATTGCCGCTTTAATTACAACAGGCTTTCCACCGAACAACACAGGAAGAAAAACAGACTGATCCGTCTCAACGCTACCGTTATTGCCAAAGCGCTCACGAATCCGAGTCGACTTCAAGTTTCGACGTTTCAGTTCGGTTTCGCCTTCAAAGTAGAAACAAGTGCCTTACTAGTAGTGACAGGTGCCTTACTAGTAGTAACAAAGAAGCTATTAGAATTAATCTTTTTTAGTTTAATTAACTAAATTCTAATAGCTTCTTGTTACTACTAGTAAGGCACCTGTTACTACTAGTAAGGCACTTGTTTCTAATAGCTTCAAGTACCTGCTGGCCTACTAGAGTCTTCCTACACGCCGTGTCCGGCACAGCACGCGTGCTCAGCTCACAAAAAAACTTGAGCTGGTTGCTCAGCGGCGCACGTGTATACCTCTTGATGCGAATCGTCCGCTTCAAATCGGCTTCCGAAGAGCCTGGAAAAATCTGTGGCTCCCCCTTCATTCTGGTCCGAGCTGGGCTCATTGGCCTCCTGAGCTAGCAAAACCTCTAGGTGAGCTAGGCCTTCTTCGCTGTAGAACGTCTCCCCATGGAATCTCTCAGAAAGCGTTTGTGCCTCTAAGCTCATGCACTTGAACTTCAGCCTCTGTCTCGAAGGTTTCGAAGTCTGCCACCATCGTCTCATGGCCGTCGCCTTTCTTTCCTGCAGATGAATCGCTTTTCTTCCCCTTGGGATAAGAGGAACCCTTTCCGCCACTTGCCTTCCGACGAGGGCACTCACGCTTCCAGTGTCCAACTTTCTGGCAAATGTGGCATTTGGTCCGGTCCTTGATCTGCTGAATCTTGGCCTGCATGGTTCCAGAAATATGCATATGACCAGTACCTTGCATTGGCTTGGAGCCCCTGGCCATCTTCTGATTCTGCAGCTTCTTGCGAATGTCCACATATGTTTCAAACACCTCAATGGAGTCTTCATCATTTGCATCATGTAACTGGATGTAATCTAGTCAGCGACTGCTTCGAACACTTCTTCCTGAGCATCATCTGGTGCACTCACCATCATCACCTCGTCAGCGGTCTCATAGTCTGCAAGAAACACGTCACGAGGCTTTGGCGAGGTTGTGCATTTTCCATTCGGAAACACTTTGGTGATCGTTGGTTGCTGTCAGGAGCAGTGCTTCTTGCGTCTGATCCAAACACAACTTGCGCATCAGAAACCAGCCACGAACTTCCAAAGGTAGTTCAACACCATGAGATTTGAGATGCTTGTATGTGCTATCCAATCTCACCATGTATTGTCTGTAGGTCTCATTCTGCTTGAACATGCTTGATCACACTCTTGTAAAAGTACTCCTGAAGATACTTCTGAATTTCCTCTTGTGCTCGCTCCAGGTACTTTTCGTCGAGAGCCTTCAACAACAGCTGGTAGCCCGTCTCTTTGCACATCTCCTCGATCTTGATGTGCTCTAAGAGCTCTTCCGCTACACCAGTGATGTATTCCATCAGCTTGGGTCCCCACCGTGTCTTCTCAAACGAGGTAAAGCCAACAGCATCAAACGTGGTAGGATCGCTCCCATCAAACTTGTCCAACTTGGCATAGGTCTCATCGGCTTTTCCAGCGGAGGTCGTCATCCCAGATCAACTCGGTAGCTCCACTACCATCTGTGAGATCCACCGTAGTGGACCTCAACAGGTGGCAGCTCCACAAGCGCAAATCAAAGCGGGCTTTTCAACACTCCATTCGGTCACGGTCGAACCTAGCTTCGCCGGTGCAAAAAGGGGGATCCTTGAGGCAACGTCAGCGGTCATTCGCTGCACGTTCACAAAGCACAAGAAAGGAACAGAACACAGAAATCACAATAATGGAAATAAATGGAAATAAACTAAATTGTCTTACTGTCAGTGTGCCATGGGTCAAGCTAGGGAAACGGTCAAGAAATTGTTGAGAGCTGATGGAGATGTTGCGCGGCCCTCAATTAACATCTTGAGGTAGGCCATTACTGTAAATCCAATTGATCACACGTATCTTCCGATAGGCGTACAGATCAATAAAGAGGGCTTTAGCAAATTGTGCAGTTGACTACTGGATGAAACAGAGGAAAGTGATTGAAGTTCAAAGGGTTAAATGGAAAGACACAGGGAAGAGAAGCGGATGGAGGAATTGGTGACGGAAGCCCCAGCCACCCCACTAAACCTGGCATCGCAAGCAATTTAATTCGGAGGGGTTGGCTCTAGAGCAGGGGTATTAATTTTGCGGGCAAGCTCCAGGCTTGGGATGGTCTGGGAACATGAAGGGGGCAGGCTGGAACCAATGAGAATGATTGAAGTGAAATTCCCAAGCCTTCGCAAAAGCACATTAAGCTGATGGAAAAAAGAACAACTGGCAAGAAGCTGCCAGGTTGTCAGACGAACCAGGACCGAGAACGAGCACATGGTTCAAAATTTATCAAGGGGTTGGTGAGCACGCGCGCCCCCAAGTCAAATTAATCAAGGCCAAAGCTGGCCCTGGAATATTTTCCAAAACCACCCACAGGATCCCACGAGTAGGTCATATTATTCAAGTTCCTCACATCTTTGTGTGGGGTCCTTACTTTTGCTGTGCGTTTTCCGCCTTCCGCCTTCCACCCTCACTGTACAATTCGTTGCTCATTCACTTGCACTCATTCACGTGCGCTTGCATTCACATTCATTGCTCTCATTCATCAACTGACACAAACTCAACTCACTTAGACTCACTCAATTTCAAGTGCCATGAGCGGATTAAACACTACAGCAGCAGAAGTGTGGCTGGCATACATCCTTTTTTTTCTGGCCCTTCATTTCGTGTTGCACCTTCTTTGGCTGGTTCGGGGGGCAGCTACGCACACATCCTTGCAGCTCACCCTGTCAGTTTGGGGAACTCTGTTTGGGCAGCTCTTTTTCTCTTTGAGTATTTCGGCAAAGTCTGGCACGAGGGTTGGAGCATTTCCTGCGGTGCTCCGAGAGCATGAGAAGATGTTTCTTTCGTTTGTCCGTTCTTTTGATTGCGAACAGTGCAGGTTCACAGCCCATTGTGAATGAGGCACACAGTTGACATTCAAAAACATCAGTATAAGAAAGCAAGCCAGCCTCCATGGATGCATATGTATATATATATATGTATATATATAATATGGTATAAGGGGCGCTTTGACACTCTGTCTTCACTAGGTCAACCAACATCCGAATGCAACATTGCTTCAACCTAGCTTCAGAACGGCCGTTTTGACCAATGATAGCGCTGCTCCTTTGCCTAGACCCCAGCTCATTCCGAAAAAAAATTACATGTTGTGTTGTCCGTTCCTTCACTTTTGCATTAATTCACAGGACCCGCATCAGGCCCCATCGAACGTAGGGTGCACGATAAATCACACTTTTGTTAACTGGCAGGAGTGATAAGACAAACTGAACAAAGGGGATGGACTGAAGTAATTTTAGGACGATAGACATAGAATATTGGGAAACGGTCTAAAGAATCCCCACAAACCACCGAGAAAAACATCAACAGAAAGGAACCTGAGTGAAAATCCAACACGCATCCACAACCTCAACATGCAACAAATCAACGACGGAGCCATCCTTTCACAATTCTTCTGAGGGTGCACTGCATAAAAAACCCAATACATGGAACTCTCAGAATACAAGAAGGAGTAATCAGGAAGGGAGCAAGGTGACACTTGAAGGGGTTTGGCTGGGCCAGGCTGGTTCTGGCCTGGTGTTTGTTGTTTCGGCTGACTGCTCACGGCCGCGCGCGAAACTGAGTTAATCTCTTGGTTTGAAACATGAAGTTCAGCAGACTGCCCTTCCTTTCTTCCCTTCCCTCTCTTTTTTCTCTCTTCCTTCCTCCTTGCCACCCTCACTTCATGCATCTTCTTACCTGTTTGGAGCTGAAGTAACCTTCAGTTTCTTGGGTTTCTAGTTGGAACGGCAACGTATGGATTCAACAAAGGGTACTGCTGGAAATGGGACTGGAAACAACGAGGCCCACACTTTCGCAACTGGAAGCTGGAACTAGAATATCATCGTCAGGATTTTCCCCTCGTTTTCCTGCACACAAGCTCAGAAGTGCAACTGGGACTGGGGCACAGCTTGGGCAGGACGCAGAGTTTGGTTTGGAGTTCATTGCCAAGTTTGACGTAGTGGTGAGAAGCTGATAAATGATGGACTCAGTCGCAGGATGTCATATGGTTTGCAAATGACTTGGTAGGAGTCTGCGCATGCAGCCTACTTGTCCCAAGGTTAATGCCCTGGACAACCTGGAAGCTCGCCGCCATGTGAGCACACCTAGCGCTGGGTCATTTCCAAGACAGACAGAGAGAGAGAGAGAGATGGAGAGATGGACACTAGGAGTGTTTACGCGTGCAGCAAACGCTAACACCGGTATGCACTCCCGGCAATATTTGAATCATAGCGGAGCTGGCAGAGATAAGTGAGTGGTTTGTTTGCCTGAGGTGGGGTTGTGATTCATTCATTTTGGGCTTTAGCGAGTTACATTTATCGTACTTAGCTTAATGGAGATGTGTGTGTGTGTGTACAGATGTTTCCAGGAGAGGACCCAGTCCCAACAAGGTTTGTCAGGGAAGAGTATGACATGAAACCTTGGCCATGAAGCTGGACGGCATGTGCTTGTTACAACACCAACTCGGACAGAAAAAAGATGTCTTGCAAGCTTAAATAGCTACTAGTAACAAGTGCCACGCTAGTAGTAACAGGTGCCTTACTAGTAGTAACAAAGAAGCTATTAGAAACAATAAGCTAATAGCTTTCTTGTTCCTACTAAGCTTGATAAGAGGCAACCTTGGTTGGACTCTCCAGACGGGGGGTTCTCCGAGAGGTTCATGTCAAGTTTTCGATGTCGCTGGATGTTCGGGGTGGTGGGGGTGGGGGGGGTATTAGCACACGAACATGGTTTGATGTTATGTTTCTTTCATGTTAAGTTGATGTTCATTTGCACGCGCGTTTGATGTTATGTGTTTTTCATGTTAACTTGATGTCCGGGTGGGGGGGTTATGGATATGTTTCTTTTTTGGGTCAAGGGCTGGTAAGTCAAGCTGCTTGCTTCCAGAAGCCTCTGTGGAAGTTGTGAGAAAAGGCGTTTGACATGGAGGATTGGGTGTGGAAAAGCATTGTTTTCCAAGTCCAAACACCTTCTGAAGAGACATCAACACATCGAAAACAAGCAAAAATGGCTGACTATCAAGGTGTGCCTTTTCAATGATGTTCACAATGTAGTGGTTTTTACAGTAGAAAATGATGGTCAGTCATGTTGCATGGCGAAACCCATGGTTTTTCACACTTTTGGCAGGTTCGTAGGACAATGTCTCAAACCTGGAAACCTGCTCCTCAGGCAGTTTCACTCAGATCGAGTTTTTGGGAAACCAAAAACAGCATTGCATGCAAAGTCAACTTGCGCGAACAAAAACGAAATATGTTCGCAATCTTGTACTTTTAAAAGAACCACGGGTCATGGCAAAACAAATGCCGAACCCCAGCACATTCAAAATTTCACTGCAGTTGTGACACCTTGAACAGATGATGCAGCTCGGGGAACCCCCCAACCCACGCCACAATAGGCACGATACAAGTATACAGTTGACAATAGCACCATGTCTTTTGCTGCCAGTTGTTCTACATACATCGCAGAGAATCCAGTGGCTTGAAGTGCTGCTCTCTAGGATGTCGTAGGTTGCACAGGGATTATATAAAGGCATGCCAGTCCCAAGCGCTACGCCTTCACACATTGGACATCATTGGACTAAGAATTCCCACTCTTAAAATCCGCATTTGCATTGAGCTGTGACATGAGTTCTTGAAATGCCATGCTGTCCTTGCTCTTGTTATGTTTTTGGTGCGCAAAGCAAAACAAATATTAATGGTGTGTGCAAACACAGTTTGCTGTGAGCAAATTGTATGCCCGAGTGTTTCCAAATTTTTTGCTCTTCTGCTCAAGCGATATTCTCGCGTTCTCAGGTGAATCGCCTTTGCTTAGCTGCTGAAAAGCCATTGCTCGAGGCTGGTAGCACCGGCCACCTGGGCCAGGCGTGCAGTGTGCGTGGTGTGCGGTGTTCCGCATTGCAAACATGGGCCTGTTCAGTTTGCATTTGATTGGCAGGTGACGGTGATTCGCAAGGGGGACACCGAATGCTTCGAATGTCAAGCCAAGCCCAGCCAGAAGGCACTGTGCATCACAGCGACATAGAGCATCCGACAAAATCTAAGAAATTGACACAGGAAATCGGAGGAACAACTAGCAACAAACCTAACGGTGGCGGTAGGACCACGCGAGTGCATTGATCAGTGGGTAATAGTCATAGTGGGTATATGAAGCAATAGTGACTCAACGACCCAAATTCAGCATTCCTTGATGCAAATGTTGCAACTGGCTGTAGGACTTTTGAAGATTTTTGAAGCAACGCACAGGTCTATCCATATTGCACCATTCGGTCCACACCAGAAAAGCCCGTGCTCGTGGCTCAGCTTGAGTGTTCACTGAGTTCTGCTTAAATCTGCATTCGACTGCGGCCTTTTGAATGAAGGCATTGTCTCACTTGGGCGAAGAACCTGTTCGACCTGTGCTTTGGTCCAGAAGATGAGTCAAATCTTTTGTCCAAGACTCAGTGAAGTCGAGCCTAATCCACCCAGCGCATGCTCAGATGCGAATGCAGTATTTATGTGGGAGGGGTGATGAAAGAATTTGCGCTCGACAATTCAGTTTTAGTGGAGGCTGTGGACACAAGTTCACAAGAGAGATTGCTCCTTTAATGCTCACACATGTAACTTTGTGACTCAAGAACTTCGTAGGCAGTATAGTCATTCGAGCGTAGATGGATGGAAGATCGATTCAAGTAGATAAAAGACCAACTCAGGGCAGACTTGGCAGCAGACATGAGAAAGTTTCAAGCGCAAGAGGCAGGAGGTTTTAAGACAGAGCTCGTCGGTCTTTATCGAAACGACAACACATCAAAAGGAAGGAGCAAATAAGGAAGGGTCTAAAGTCTAAAGGTCTCAAAATGAAAACACAAGACAACACCAAGAAAACATATGAAAACGCTACACAAACAACAACTTTAAAAGGAACATGACGGAACTACATTAATTACATACTATGTCAATACAATGTTGATACATACATAGTTGAGAGATGCTGCGAGTAGGGTGCATGGGTGCATTTTCTGTTTGCTTTGCTGCAGTCTGTCGATGGCGAAGATGCCGGAAAGCGCATTTTTGCGCACTTGTTTGAGGAGGACATCAGAAAGCAGGCACTACAGAGCACTCAGAGTGGAACATCCAGTGTCACCTTTTACCAGGTGTTTGGCGATGTTTGGCACAGAAACACCTCAGGTCCGCAGATGTATTCACTGTTTTTGTTTTTCTGGCCTTTGCGAGGCAGAGCTTGAAGATCTCTGGTCAGATCAGCGTCCTCCCCCAGGTCCTTTGAGCTACGAGGAAGCATTGAAGCCAGAAGCCGAGAATGTTGAGGACATGAAGTGTCATGAACTGTCAGTCAAAGAGAGAATATATATAATGACATGACATGTTCATGTTGCTTGATCGCCTCAAGTTTAGGGGCACGCCAAGATTCTGCCTTGCAAGACTGTCCTGGCCAAGGAAGAATGAGTGCCCAACAGATGCTGACAAGGAAGAGAGCTTGCAAGTACATGCACCATTTCTGACAAATGAGGGGTGAAGCATCATTGATCCGAAGTCAGCTTTCTTATTGAGCTCATTTAAGGTAATGAACAATACATACAAATACCAATGTTCAACATGACAAGAAATACAAAACACGTCCAATTTCAGGACAAGCTTGAAACGCAGAAAGTTCCAAGTGTTGCTGGTGATGCCAAAGGCTTCGTGGCCAGTGATCCTTGGCAAAATAGAGTTCTGCGCGGTCCACCTCGAAAGCAGTTTTGTAGTTCCGATTGGTTGGTTTGGAGATTCAAGTGATAGTCCTGGGTATGTTTTTTCTTCCGTCAGAGACCTGCCCAGGTGGCCAAGATGTATGGTGAGAGAAGAGACCTCATTGGTCAGAGTTCTTTCAGCAAAGACGCGGGCTGTTTTCACAAAGCGCGTGTTTCTTGTGGTGTCAAACGCAATCGAAAAGCACTCGACTTAGGAATGCGTGAATTGATCAGACACTGGACACCCAAGAAACTGCAACGTGCAGCTGTTTGGAGTGTGAAGATGCTTGCTTCCCACTTCCCACCAATCATAGTTGTATTCTCCTGCTAGCCGACAGGTTTGCCCTTGCCAAGCATTGAGAAACGCCCGAGTCCATCCACACGTGCCATGTGCAAGTTCGCAGGATGATCCAATTGCCATGGACTTTGTGCATTGCGCTGCAAATCTCCGAATGCAAAATTATCGCAGCGAAACTGCACAAGTTTTATACCATGCAATGCAATAGATCAAGAAGATTATATATGTTGATTTGCAGATTGGATATTGCAAGGTATTCCCCGACTATCTCGATGGGCCATGAGCTTTTTCGGAACATTCCCAGTGTGCTTGTGAGACCTGTTACCAATGCTGAAGCACACGTCAAGCTGTTGCTGTGCAAACTTTCGGCATGTGAGCTCAAGCTTTGCCGCACGGCGCATTCTGGATTTGCGACATCATTACGAGCACTTCTTAAGATTTCTTAAGGATGCTCAGTCCATTGCCGGCTCCATCATACCTGCTGTGGCTTGCTACTCAGGCAGTCTTGTAAACAAAGCAATTGGAAAAGAATTGGATCACGTTGAACCCGGTAACAGCGGTCAGAGCTAGAACAGTGGAACGAATCATACACGGCAACATGTTCCACTGCTTTTACATCTTAAATAAGCGTATTAAACTTTGAGGATAAGACATTATATTGTGTTCCACAAATTACAGTATCGTGTGAAACCGTTCGCTATTGGCCAGCAACCCTGTGGAAGCACCAATATCAGCTTGTACAGAGAGGCACAGAAGTTGGAAGATACAGGTTGCAGACAGAGACATAAAAGAGAAGAGTCAAAACAAATTTGGTCTTTCACTTGGATGTGGGTTTTCTGAGATTACAGTAATTGCCGCAAGAAAGTAGTTTTTTGTTCTAACGCCACGACATGGGTCAACAACTGATGAAAGAGCTTCAATTTGTTTCATCAAGTTGTTGCGGCTGACCACTCTGAGAGTTCAGGATATCCCGTAACGCTCTCGGCCCTGTGTGTTTCCTGTTGAGCGTGCATCCGAGGCGAGCACAAATGCAATCGTGGCAGGTGCTACAAAAGTTCAGAGCATTGATTGACATAAGAGAGATTCAACTTTTTGTGAAATTGACTGAAGAGGGCCAGCTTGCAATTGTGAGATTGGTCAGGACTTGAGGTTGTTCAGCTTCTTCACGTGTTTCAGCCTGAGAAACGCAGTGCCGCTTTCCAGCCAATTGTGATGCAGTATCAACAAACAAGGGTTTGAAGGCCCAGCAGATTGTTCTTTAGTGAATGTGGAGTGATGGTAGAACTTTTTGGCATTCAGAATTTCAGACACCATGCAACACTGCAACACTATGATGAATATGATCAATAATAATCAAACGGTGCATGCATGAATGATGAATGGTGGCATAGTGTAAGGCAAGTCCAAGGCGCTGAATAGGGCTATGGCAGGAGAAAGGCTGGTTTGACGAATGAACACCATCCTTAGCAGAGACATCCATCCTCCAATAGCTAAGCCCCCTCAAAAAAAGAAAAGACATGACACAAAGGCTAAGGAAGAAGAGGCAACTCTCATTAAACTGATTTGGCATTAGCCAAGGCTTCAAAGTCTTGGCAAGCCCATGAAAGAGAGCCGAGCCTGAAGCCCGGCCCAGTACGAAGGGCATCTCGCATGGGATTTGTTGTATCTCGTGATGGTTTATGCATTGCTTGTTTTGTACAGTTGTACAAGAGTAGCACAGCTGCCCGGAGTTTCTTTCCGAAGCAGAATTGTGTATATATATATATATATATGAGTTTGTGTGGATAGTCATGTAATGTATTTATGTTTGTGAAGATACTATGTTTATGTGTATGCATAAAAGACTCATTAATGTATGAATGTATTTATGCATCTCATGTAATGTAGAGGTAGGATTAATGACCCCCCTAGTTAAACCGAGCCCACACAGCCTCGCAAATTCACCCAAATTGAAAGTCGTATTGGAGCTAAATTCCACCCCTAATAGTGTACTTGTCATCTAGACCCCCCCCCCCCCAATTAAACCGAGCCAGACAACCCAGAAAATATATCTGTGTGTGTGTGTGTTTAATATTGAACTGAGGACCCTTGACCCATGTGCACCCATCATCTTCATCAGCCAATGCCCAAAAGGCATTGTGGAGAAGAATCCCCATGGTGGCTTATGAGATTACCTCACCTGCTCACCAGCTGATTGGTCCCATTCTGAGCCCAAACGTTGCCAGCCAATACTCATCAGCTCATCCCTTCTCAAAACCTATTCAGGCCTCATGGCGGCCTCATGCTCATCGGTTCATCCCTTCTCAAAACCCTAGGTATCAACCTTCATGGTCTAATGGCCTCATAGCATATTATTCAGGGGAGTGGACCTCATGAATGGTAACCTCAGACCTTCTGGACCTTGTTGACCTTCTATGTGGGGAGGGAGGGGGCCGGTTGATTAATCCGGGGTTGAGAGTATCTAATCTAATGTATCTAATGTAGTGTAGCGTAACGCAATGCAATGCAATGTAATATATGTGTTTGATCACGTATTTATGTACTGTAATGTAATGTTACATGTTATGTATTGTTGTGTTATGTAACGTTACGCATAAATGTGTTGTCGTTCTATGTTGCTTAATGTTGTGTAATGCATTGCTAAGTAGTGTTATGGCATGTTATGTAATGTATGTAACCTATTGTATTGCATTGTATTGTAATGATGTATGTTATGTTTTGTTATGGTTTGTTATGTAGTATTTACTTATTGATGGTATGTGATGAGATGTAATGCAATGTAATGTACTGTATGTATTCAGTGTAGTTTGTTAATGTACTGTATGTATGTTGTGTATGGTGTGTTGTGTTATGTATGTTGTGCTTTGTATGTTATGTTTGTTGCGTATTACAGTATATGTATGTATGTATGTATGTATTTATGTATGTATGTATGTAATGTATGCAATATTATGTAATTATGTGTAATATGTGTCATGTATGTATGTATGCATGTATGTGTGTATGTAGGTAGGTAGGTAGGTATGTATGTAGGTCATATCCATTCGTATACCTTTAATGTAGTGTAACCACATGACATGGAATGAAATGTAAAGAGCGTAACATGACATGGATGGATGGAAGGTTTCGATATACACATAGATGTACATTCTGCGGTGCTATGAGGTGCTTTTTGAACATCAACCTTAGGTCCTTTGACCTGGTGTGAGAACACGTAGACGTAGTTCCTAGCCTGGCCGTGAGCTGGATCTGGTCGTCCATCACTTTGCTTCTGGCCAAGCACCTGGTGCGTTCGACGGGGTGTCCTTTGCGCACCATTGTGTGGGTTGGATGCCCATGCCATTGGCTTGGTGAGAGCGGCCCACAGTAGCCAGGCTCTCCAACAAAGCGAGCAAAGGCCTCTTCATTTGCCCTGGCCAGAATGTAGCACTTGCATTGTGTGCGCCGGAGATATTCTCGATCCAATTTCAATCGATGGACTCCTTGTTGCGGTCCATCCTGCGCAGTGCATGAATGACTTCCATGCGGGTTTGTCGAGGCTGCTTTGGCCGTGGAGCCTCAAAGCAAGGCTTCCCGACGTTTTTTGGCGATGCTTTTGGTGTGATATCTCATGCCAGATAGGCCGCATTTGACCCCACTGCGAAAGGGCTGCCAACCATGGCCATTACGGCTGGGCTGCTTGACAATCTCCGTCAAGAGCTCTCTCTTCTGTTTGATGAGGGGGATCTTGTGATTGATGTTGACATGCTTCTGGTGGATGTAGTTGGACTTGTCTTTGTCTTTCATAAGGATGCTCATCCTCTCTCCAGCCTGCAAGAGAATCTCGTGGGCATCATCATCAATGTCAGCCTGCAAATCAAGGATCTCTAGGGCTCGAAAAGCTTGGCGGTCTTCTTTGCCAGCTTTTGCGTGTCAGCTTGTGTCTGACATCTGAGATCATTCAACTCCAACTCTTGTCGTCCAAAGTGTGGCCATTCCCGGACAGATGCCACCCGTTTCCTGGTGGAAGTGTTGTGCGCGCAAATGGCAAAGGCAAACTTTCTGTGTCGTTTGTCTCCACAAATTGGGGAAACTGCAATGGAGCAAATGTGCCCATGCCCAACGCCGACGATCTCAAGTGCTTGCCAAAGGCCTTCTCCCTCGTCTTCAGGTTCGTAGAAGATGGATTGAACCATCCCTCGCTGCCATAGTTCACCACGCCTGCAAATTGTTCTCTTGGAGGAAAGCACGCGTCCAGGTAAAAGCCCTCGTTGGCGTAGCGCCGCTGGCTCGGATTGCCCACCACCATTGTCAGATTTTGCATCAGAAAGTCAGTGTTGGAGGCGTAATCATAGAGGGGTGCCATTGTGGCGGTCTCCGTGCTCGGTGTAGGCGTAGATGAACAAGGAGCGCCTCCTTTCAGCAACGCCGTGAGAGGTAGGCGCCGGAGCGCGGACGGTAGGAGGTTCAAAATTGGACGTTTCTGTGACATCGTGACAAAAACCGGTAAGATGATGAGGAATTGTGTTGCAACTCCCCTGCACCTTTGCCTGCGTTCAAAGGTTGCCCTTGGGCATGGGGTGGCAACTGGCTGAGCAAAATTCTCTTGCGACAAAGTCTGCTCAAAGCCGTCCCATGACTCAAAGCCGTCGTCAGGTGAAGGAACAGTAAAACCCCAAAGTGCGCAAGGCTCCTTGTGCTTGTTAACCACACTGTCCTGTCGTCCCTGTATTTGCCGCGGGCTCAGTTTTGCGGCGCTTGGTCAGGTCCTCAGGGTCATCGTTGGGCTTGGCAAGCTCAAGCCACTCAAACGATCGCCGGCTGACGTGCAAAGATTTGACGGAGATGCTCATCACTGCACCAGAACCATCAAGCTCAAAAACCAGGTCACGGACCTCAAGAACCTCTCCGTCAAGAAGACTCAGCTCCAGGAGCGCCTTGCTATCAAGGCTCAATACCAAGGGCTCCTCAACGACACGCAGGAACTCCAGCAGAAGCTCAATGAAAGCCTTGAGACACCTCCGGTCTTCAGAATGACATGGAGATTGACCTGCTGCCTCCTTGTCGGATGAACAGAATTCCCAGTCGCACGGAATCCTTAAGAAGACCAGGCCGGGGTCGACCCGGCCTTTGCCCTTGCCTGTATTGCCCTTGATTTCAGGCCACCATATCCCCAGTTCTGGCACTGGGTGTGGTGGCAAACCATGGGTCGCGAGCTGGCTTCTAGTCAGTCAAGAGGTGATCACGGTCCGTGTAGATGAGATACTCCCCAAGGCCAAAGGAGAGGGAGCAGGTAGATCAGAAAGGTCACCGCTATGGTGTCCAAAGCGAGCAACTGCCGGTTGCCAAAGAGTTCAACAAAAGCGAGGTTGGTGAGGTCCAAGATTGAGAGCAAAGAATGTGATGTAGATGCTCTTGTCCCTGGGCCGTCCTCGTCGTGACTCTCGAGGCAATGCTCGCGTGGGGGGTCCGCGCAAGCTAGTCTTTGCGGGCTGCCAGTTTGAGCACTGTATGTAGGTATGTAGGTAGGCAGGTAGGCAGGTAGGCAGGTAGGCAGGTAGGCAGGCAGGGAGGCAGGTAGGCAGGTAGGCAGGTAGGCAGGTAGGTAGGTAGGTAGGTAGTAGGTAGCTATGTATGTATGTATGTATGTATGTATGTATGTATGTATGTATTTTTTCTACTATAGTTGCTGAGTGCTCAGGCCATATTGGCCAGTGGGAAGGGCCTTAGGCCGATGCGGGCTCACGTCGGCCTCATTTGGCTCAGAGGTGCTCGTTCATGTTTCCTTCGTCAGAAGTACTCGACAGCAAAGCCAGGAAGGTCGTCATGAGTGTCGGACCCTGCGCCTGCCTTTGGGCTGGGGTTCATGGCCGAAGCAGACCTGCTTGTGGTGGTTTCTTCCTCTTGCTCCTTGGCATCCAAGGCAGTCTGAAAGCTGAGCCTCCTCGGAGTGGGCTGAGCTGCTGTGGCGGCCGGTGCTGGTAGGTCAGGTGGTGTGTTGGAGCTGTTTGAGGGATCCTTCTTTTTAAAGAAATCACTGAGCGGTGGTGATCCTTTGGTGCCTGCTCCTTTGCAGACTTTGGAGAGCAGCTGGTTTGTGATGATGCGTTGCTCGGCATCCAGGTTCCATGCTGCTCCACATTGGATGCATCGGACTCTTTCTCCCTTCTGCCAGAGGGAGTGACTGGGGTGTGCTTGTGTTGGCTGTGGAAAGAGTCGATCGATGCATGGAGAAGCCAGGAATGTCTGGAATGCCTCTTCGTTGACCCGTTTGTGGGTGTTGACCCCGCATTTCAGGCACTTGAGGTATCCAGTGGTTTCAGCATATTTGTGTTCCTCCGGTGCTGGTGGCTGCTGGTGTTGCCTGTGAAGGATGTCTTTGATGAGCTGAGCCCTTGTGGGTTTCTTGGTCAGTGGTTCTTCTTTGGCCGGCTGACTGTAGACATCCGCCAACTTGACCTGCGGGCAGTCTTCCTGGAGGCGGGTTTCCAGAATGTCTTTGGTCAAGCCTTGGTGCATTCTGCATTCTGGCTCCACACGCTGTGCACTGGTAGCCGCTGCGGTGAGGCTCCCATCTGTGATGGTTGTCTGTCCATTTGTGGGCACATTGCCTCACCAAGTCCCTCTTGTAGTTCT